TGCGAAACCAGTAAATTACCACTAACGATCAATAAATGATCTACAAATAATATTTACACATACAGTCTTAGGATTTACAATACCAATAAAATGCAATACAATGTGTCAAATTAGTGGCAGAAGTAATAAGTAAAAGGCCCTAGAATTTAAAAGTGTTGGAACCTGACAGGAGCTTGGGTTTCCAAATAGGTAAACAAACTGCACTTGGCAAGTAGATTAGAAACAAGTCGAAACGCCCGATTCTCGAACTTTTACAGCCAGTATTTTAGAAACTGTCTCCCCAGGATTTTCTAGAAGGATCAAGCCCACCACGTCCATGTGCACACCAAGGACAGATAACTCTAATTCTAGTACAAAAGCATTCTTGAAAGCTTCACCTGCTGCTGTTGTCTCCTGTTCAGAGCTGCCCACGACAGCACTTGATATGTTTTACTAGTAGACAAACTCCCTGCACTCTTAGATCGTTAGTATCACAGCAGTCGCTGAGGTGGGCCAGGATTGTTGTTGAATTTACTAATGCTCAATAAAACCTGATCACAAGTCTGTTTCCCATCTCCGTGCCTGGTGTCTGTGCAATAAACTAGGTGACTGTCTATAAGCAACTGACAGAGGGAACCGGTTCAGTCGCCTGGCAACTCCTTCGTTTCTATTGAGTGAATGAGTGAGTATGGTTTTACGCCGCATTTAGCAATATTCCAGTAATATCACGGCGGGGGACACCAGACATGGGCTTCACACTTTCATTTCTGAAGACCTTAAGGTATAGTATTTTCCTTCCCTGAAAGTCAAGGAACCTTTCCCTCGATCCTCGTCTGTTTCCTGTATCCAGCCCTCCTTCTCAAAGCGCATGTCCTTTGATCCAGGGAGTGACCAATCCCCGTCCGACAGGCACGTGCAGCCCGTGCGAGATGCATGCAGACCTCTTGACCGGGACGAGGCCCTGGAGGTGATATGGAGCTTGTATCCGCCAAAGGCTTCAGACGTGGAGGCTAGGAAGTCTCGCTGGATCCGCCCCGTGGTGCAGGAGACGGAGGCTTGGTCACTCCTTGGTATGTAGTGTGTCGCTCTGTCTCGCCAACAGCAGGGAGACTGTCATTTAAACTGCCGGGGGGGGGGGGGGGGGGAGTAATCACCCATGTTTGATGGTGTCTTGAAACGAAACCAACAAGAAATGGTTACTCGATGGTGCTGTATTTGGTATGGCTATCATAATTGTGGTTTAAGCCTTACGTTTGTAGTGTTTCGTCACCTGTTTTCAACCTAGAAACTTTTGGATAAATGTATACCTATTTTGTCCGGCAGTTTAATCTCCCTGTGCATTGTGCAATCTCACCGGGAATTCATTGTCAAGGATCTGAATCAAATGTGAAATGTAAGGATTAGAGTTTTATAGAGTTTTTCACAACACATATATAGTTTTGTACTGTGTGTGTATGTGGAGGGGGGGGGGGGGGGGGGGGGGGGGGTAGCTGTTTAATGTGGCTGATTGTGAATTTGCGTGGTCCGTCTCACGACACTTACCTTTCAACAACACGTGTGGCAATGTATTCCCGGTATACAGATTGGTGTTCTAAAGTATTACCGTTCTACTTAGAGACGTTGCTGTTTAATGTCATTCACCCCAACTGTTGTGTGATTTGTGTTAGTTCTTGCATCTCTTATCAATACGTTCTTTGAATAAACTATGTAAATACAAATGTATGTAACAAACTTGCTTCAAATGATAATAATGTAAATTATAACATTAGCTGTAAAAAGGTAAACATTTTTTTCTGGGTTCAACACAGGATCTTAAATTATAACTTACTATGGATTGAAACTGAAGCTGATTAAGATACATGATAACTGCATACCGCCATAGCTTTGTAATACCACAACGACCCTGTTGACCAACCAGTACTACAAATAAACAATAGGTGATGACAAGGGATGTTTAGGAATTAAATTGAAAATATATATTTTTCATCCTAGATGACCGTATTTTGACCCAGACGGATTTCCGTACTTGTCTGAAGCTGGTGATAGAGGCGCGTCTGAAGAGGGAGGGCGTGGTCGCCATCCCAAGCAACGTGCGCGCGGGTGTGGAGGAAGTGTCAAACGCCGAGGAAGCCATGGAGAAGATAGAGAAGTACCTGCTGGAGAGGAAGGCTGAGAAGGAGACGAAGGAAATAAAGACGACTCCGCCGCGAGTCGCCGTGTAGTCACATGACAGTGCCTATGCTCTAGGAACCAGTGTTTTCTCCTGTTCATGTACCTGTAGTAACTACAAGCCCATACAGGGAACATGTATCGGAAACATGCTCCCATCACAAAGGTGCCTTACGTTTCATCATCTCAAGAGAGAAAATGTAATTACAGTTATCCGTACTTAAAAACAAATGTTTCTGGCGCTTGCTGTAAGCCGGCATCATCTGAATCGAACCCGGACCTTAGGTGTCACGAAGCAACGCTTTAACCACTAGGCTACCCAACCGCCCCGATTTTTGAAAGAACAGCGTCAAAATAATATAGTAGGGGCACGGGTGGCCCAGTCGTCTAAAGCGCCGTAATTCGACGTGCAGAGTTGCGTCCCTTGGAACGCCAGAAACCCATGATCGTGGGTTCGAATTCCGGTTCTCCATGCTTGTTTCTTGGTTTGTCAGAACCGAACCCGTTCTGGTGGATTTCACCAAAATTGTAAACGTCTGAGACTTGCATCGCTTCTGGTTTTACTCCCCCACCAACCTGTCACGCGGTTATATAACGGGAATACTGTTCATTGTGGGTGTTTAACTTGTTTTGAGCGGTATATTGCATGTATATGCGTTACAGCAGGCGGTTCGTCCAAGTTGGTGGAAGCGGATGAAAAATATCAATGATTTTACAAAATGTACATATTCAGTAAACGTTTATGATTGTTTGAAATAACATCTTCTGTCCATAAGTCATTTTAAATCTTTTACGCAAACGCAAATTGTCATCAAGATCTGTGATATTGATAATGGTGGTGTTGTTTATCTGTTGATCTGTTATTGTAAATAACTTGTTGATAAGTGTCGTTTCGTACGTTTTCATATAACATTGATCTATAAATGTCGAGTATGCTTGTAGTTAGAGACGACTAACGGGATCGGGTGGTCAGGCTCGCCGACTTGGTTAATGCATGTCATCGTATCCCAGTTCGATGCTCATGATGTCAATCACTGGATTGTCTGGTCCAGACTCGATTGTTTACAGACCGCTGTCATATAGCTTGAATATTGCTGATTGCGGCGTTAAACAACAAAGAAAAGGAAACATAAGACTGACAGTAGACGACTGCTGTAAAGTGAACATTTGATGGTGAAATCATGCATGTCAGGTCATTGTATGTAGCTCACGCAACCACAACCCCACCTTTCTATTACACTGGGGACCGCTTCGCCAAGCAAACGTAGTGTCACAAATGCTATCACAAGATGCACTGACACACATAGACATCATCTTCCCGAGGCAAGTGAGTTAACTGATTGTAAAAGTCCAGTTTCCACCCTTGCCGAACTGGGCTGGTATTATGGAGTTACATTTTGGCTGGACTAACGAGTCTATGCATAGACCAATCAAAATCGCGCACCGAAATCGAAATCCGGTTCGTAAACTGTCATGCATAGTTCGGTCGACTGCAGGATTTGCAAAGCATGTGCACCGCTAACTCGTTGTCAACAAAATATTTTCTATATCTTTTCATGTTTTTAATCAAGGTGCTCACGTGATTTGATACACTTCGCGATTTAAGACTCGTTTCATCACAATATAGATCTTGATTATCGATCAGATCGTCTTGACTGGGCGCCACCGTTTTGTTTGAAGCAAATGCTAGTGATACGAGAGGTTGAATCTGATTGGTCAATAGGAGAGGCATAGAAAGGACATTACTCGTAATAGCCACTGGTGGCGCTACGATCGAGCCCAGGAATTCCAGCCTAGTTCGGCAAGGGTGGAAACTGGACTTTTAAAGTCAGTTAACTCTCTTGCCTCGGGAAGATGCACAGACATAGGCAAGTTACAAGAGTAGCGTCAACAACAGAGCCCGTGAATAGGTAGTTGTTGGTCATAAAGGACCATTGGATATTCTGGGGTAGGATGGGGTGGGATATTACCCAGAGATCTTTTATACTTAAAACTGAGCCTAAATAGTTTTGGTGTATTTTTAAATCTTGCAACTATGTATTTTTTGTGGCAGGCAATTTCTTCTTTATTTGCAACAGTCTTCAGCATTATTATATTTTATAAGCATTTTCTGGGACAATTTCTCTTTTTTTCGATAAAATCACAGAATGTCAAATTCCCTAAGGTCTTCAACATAAGTCTTGTCTTCGTTTGTTTTCTCTTTAATTCCTATTAAGGTACTTTTGTGTATAACCTACTCAAAAGAGGTTAATGTCCACCCGATTCCTTCATATTACTACAGTTAATATGTCATGTCATGACGGATTAACTACAATAATGTGAAAAAATGCCATGATAGATTAACGATAGTAATATGAAAGTATCGGGTGGTCCTTAACTTCTTTTGAGTAGTATATCTAGTCGGATACATGAACATGTCGTTTGGATGCGGCAAGTTGGCAATCCTGGTTCAAAACAGTTTAACCTGTGGGTTCTCATGCCGTGATAACGTCAATACATTCATTTTTGCGTATTTTCGTGATGATCTCGAATTCGGGTGCTACTTGTTTTTCGTTTCGTTTCTATTTGTTTCCAAGTGCAGTGAATGTTCAGAACATCCATGTGAATAAATCATAAAACATCCGTGTTAGCTTGTACTTCATAGCATGCCATAAAGTCACTGGGAAGCCATCTTGACCACCCGATACCTGTTCTGGGGGCAACTCATGCTATGCATGCGGTATCGGTCTATTCTTCCAGAGGTGAAGGTGAGGTGAAATTGGGTTTAACGTCACGTGTGTGTGTGGCTGCTTGTACTAGTCCGGACTGATGCCGATTTGTAGTGCTAGCCCACTGAGATACCATGCCGCAGTTTAACATGAATACCCCTCTCAGACACAGTATACTGACTCCGAGCCGACCAGTCCTTGTTTTAGCCCCTTAATGCCGAGCGTCTTTTGTTATGACGCGGCCGGGGATCGAACCCCGGACCTTCCGCTCTCCGGGCGGACGCTCTACCACTAGACCACGGAGGCGGTCTATTCCCGAGATTCCCAATGTTTGTTTGTTTGTTGATTAACGTCACTCATCAATATTCCAGCTATATGACGACGTCCTGCAAATAATCTGGACCAGAGTCTGGACCAGATAATCCAGTGACTGATATTGTGAGCACCCATCCACGACGTCAGTGTACGATGACACACACTCAACCCCATTACCGAGCCTGACCAGTCGATCCATTTAGTCACTATTTTCGACCAAACAATTACAACACGAAATGGGATCCCCCAAACGGAAATACATGAGTAAAACCATGGTTATAGAGACTTATTTGTCCGTTTAAATTTAATGAGGGAGGAAAGCTAATGGTAGAAGACAGTAAGTCTTTGGTGAAATCCACGACTACTTTCTGGTTCTCAGGAAGATGTGGGGCGGTCGGGTAGCCTAGTGGTTAAAGCGTTTGCTCATCACGCCGAAGACCCGGGTTCGATTCCCGACATGGGCACAATGTGTGAAGCCCATTTCTGGTGTCCACCGCCGTGATATTGCTGGAATATTGCTAAAAGCGGCGTAAAACAATACTCACTCACTCACTCACTCAGTAAGATGTCGACCGCAGACCTTTAGATATTTGGTGAAAATAGCAGCCAGGGTACACAATTTTGTGTGTGTGTGTCTGTCTCTGTCTGTCAGTCTGTTTTTACACTGGTCCGGACTAAGGCCACTTTTACAGTGTATTTTTAACAAAAAATACCCCACATAATACGGATTCCGAGCCGACCAGTCCTCGTTTCATCCCCTATTATGCCAAATGCCAGACAGGGTAACACGTACCATTTTTTAATGGCTTTCAGTATGACCGGCAGGAAAAGAAATCACCGACCTTCGGCTCTCCGACACACTCTCTATCCACTAGACCACGGAGCGGTATCCGCTTTGGTGCCACCCACAAGCACGGGTATGGTGCTGCCAAACCTGGAAACAGTCAGGGCAATTCTGTGATCCTAACCCACTATGTGTTTCTGGCACTCCTAAGGGACGCAACTCTGCACGGCGAAATGGGCCCTCTCCGACAACCTACCCACCAACAGAAGTATATAGATGGGTGTGTTGAAATGACGCATCGTGCTTTTATGGACTTAAATTTGTTTATATCTCATCCACATAAACATCACATCATCCTTACATCACAGACCCGTGAAGATCCGGGGTAGAATAGATCTTCAGCAACCCATTCTTGCTGTAAAAGGCGACAATGCTTGTCGTAAGAGGCGACTATGCTTGTCGTAAGAGCGACTAACGGGATCGGGTGGTCATGACTTGGTTGATGCATGTCTTCGTATCCCAAATTGCATGCATCGATGCTCATGATGTCAGTGACTGAATTGTGTGGTCCAGACTCGATTATTTACAGACCGCCGTCATATAGTTGGAATATTGCTGTGTGCGGCGTTAAACAAGAAACAAACAAACAAAACACCTGTTGTTAATTGAAGAATGGTGTGACCTCTCCTGGCGCCTTCATGTGCCATTGCTGCGTGTGATGTCCTCACCACATTACAACGTGCTGCACGTGATGTCCTCACCACATTACCACAGTGTCACTGTAATTGTTTGCATTTTTACAACATGCACTATCTTTCTATGGCTATATACACGTTTATTATGAGCTTTCATAAGTTAATGAGCATAGGAATGATATTGTCAATGAAACTGTCTTCAAATAAAATGGACAAAATAAATTCACATTGTTGACACCCAAACTACTTCAAATAATGAATTGAAAGGTAAAATGCATATTTACAGCTCTGCACAATACCGCATTTGGATGATTGACAATGATGACAATTTTTTACGTTCATGCAATGCAGCATCTTTTTTTTTTCATTCATTTTTTTACGCAAAACAAACTCAACATGCTTAATGGAAATCCACACACATTCTGAGCACTTATAATAATCTATGTTCAAAATGATGGTATCTACAATTGCTGTTAGCACTGGGCCTCCCTGTTTAAAAACGTGATCTTTGATCTATGACTATCAATTTATGGGATTTCGCGACAATCATTGCGTTGCGATCACTTCGTGAAGCGGGCCTTGATCTTGTATCTTCTATCCATGTAGAGCAATGTAGGACTCTAATCACATCATCTTCACTTATAGGGGTAGCACTGTAACTGATGAAGGAGAGAAGATCCCTGGTGACACTTCTTCATCACCTAGAAACCCTTTTCCCTGTACCAGAAGTGAGTTATGTACAGGTATTATGGTTGATGAAGTTGAGCTGGATTAGAATGTGGGGAACAATCACGAGGTTTTCAGTTTCTGGAGAGATTCCTTGTTGATGAACTGAACACCACGTTTGTAATATCCAATCTGTCCGTCAATATTTGCAGTGTCACTTTTTTCTCGGGGCCTGAAAAAAAGGAACACCCTCTTTAAATGTGCATATTCAATCAATGATTTATATGAAAACATAACATTCTCCCGGGGATGGAAATAAACCAAGAACATCCAGGCCGAATAGTGATAACATATAGCAATACCCCCAAAATGTGTGAAATTCTAACGGCCCTTCGGATACCTTTAACCTTAACAAAACAGACCAGCCCTGTCTTCACTGAAATTGTTTGAGTGCATTGTTGAGTTCAACACAGGAGGAGCATTAGAGCAAGTTAGTGTTGGAGGGATGAATGAGTGAGGTGGTGGATTTAAACAGATTCTTATGATCAGTATGAGGACTACTGTCGGCTTGATGTTGGAGGAAGGTGATGCAGGTTTTCAGATGACTTCGGAGCGCTGACAAAGAATCCTGATTGGAGGAATCTAAAGAATCCTGATTGGAGGAATCTAAAGAATCCTGATTGGAGGAATCTAAAGAATCAAGATTGGAGGAATCTAAAGAATCATGATTGGAGGAATCTAGGCTTGGAACTTACAATCAGCGGATCCTGACTAAGCTATGGCACCATGGAGGGCTTCTTGATGACTGAGCGAGTGCCTAGTATTGTTTGTTTGTTTGTCTGTTCTAAATGCAGCACTAAGCAATATTCTAGCTTTATGATGGCAGTCTGTCAATAATCGAGTCTGGACCAGACAATCCAGTGATTGACATCATGAGCATTGACCTACGCAATGACATGCATCATCCCATGGGATGCTGAAGAGCTATTCTCTACCCGGAACTTCATGGGTCCAGTATTCAGTCCTAAGTCAGAAAGATATTCCCAACCTGCTCACATCACCTCATGAAAAAGGTACTGAAACTGGACCACGCCAGCATGGGGTGGTGAAAGTGAGGTGAGGTGAGGTGAGGTGAGGTGAGGTGAGGTGGGGCCTTGCGTTTAAGATTATTGCACTTATAAAATGTTGTGTGAGTGTGCTTTTACTTGTCTGGACTTATGCCAAGTTTATAGTACTAACCCTCTGAGATACCATACCAGTTTAATATGGATACCTCACACAGACACAGTATACTGACTCTGAGCGAATCAGTTTATGTTTTATCCCCTTTATGCCGAGCACCAGGCAGGGTAACAACAAGTACCATCTTTAATTTAAGGCTCTGTCTATGACACACTCTCAAACATCACACAAGTTAGGTGCTAAAGGTGCACGCCATGAGCAGGAAATACAGTAGAAAACATTATACATCATTTTTGACCACACAAAAACTTTTATCAGGATTTTTGTACCGTTTCTGTGACTTTAGTTTGGGTAGTTTCTCTCCAGGCACTTGCTCCTGTGGAAGAAAAGAAAGATATGAGTGCAACTGGAAGAAGCTTGCTATGTTTTGAAATGTGACAATTGTTACACAGGTTGTACAGACTGTACACCCATTTCATCTACCTCTACATCTCTACCCTTAACATTTCCCATCTACCCCTTCCATATCTACCTACACCCCATCTACCCCTAACAAATCTTCCTATATCATGTATATCCCATCTACCCCTAACAAATCTTCCTATACATGTATATCCCATCTACCCCTAACAAATCTTCCTATATCATGTATATCCCATCTACCCCTTCCATATCTACCTTCACCCCGTCTACCCCTTACAAATCTTCCTATATCATGTATATCCCATCTACCCCTAACAAATCTTCCTATATCATGTATATCCCATCTACCCCTAACAAATCTTCCTATATCATGTATATCCCATCTACCCCTAACAAATCTTCCTATATCATGTATATCCCATCTACCCCTAACAAATCTTCCTATATCATGTATAACCCATCTACCCCTAACAAATCTTCCTATATCATGTATCAATAGCCACCCATCTACCCCATCAACCTCTGCAATAGCCACCCCATTTACTTCCACCCAAACCACCCTTCTACACCATCTACCCCCGCCATATCCACCCTTCTACACCATCTACCCCTGCCATATCCACCCTTCTACCCCATCAACCTCTGCAATAGCCACTCCATTTACTTCCACCCAAACCACCCTTCTTCAACATCTACCCCTGCCACATCCACCCTTCTACCCCATCAACCTCTGCAATAGCCACTCCATTTACTTCCACCCAAACCACCCTTCTACACCATCTACCCCTGCCACATCCACCCTTCTACCCCATCAACCTCTGCAATAGCCACCCCATTTACTTCCACTCAAACCACCCTTCTACACCATCTATCCCTGCCACATCCACCCTTCTACACCATCTACCCCCGCCATATCCACCCTTCTACACCATCTACCCCCGCCATATCCACCCTTCTACCCCATCAACCTCTGCAATAGCCACTCCATTTACTTCCACCCAAACCACCCTTCTACAACATCTACCCCTGCCACATCCACCCTTCTACCCCATCAACCTCTGCAATAGCCACCCCATTTACTTCCACCCAAACCACCCTTCTACAACATCTACCCCTGCCACATCCACCCTTCTACCCCATCAACCTCTGCAATAGCCACCCCATTTACTTCCACCCAAACCACCCTTCTACACCATCTACCCCTGCCACAATCGCCGTTCCAACTCTGCAACATCCACCCCATCCAACCCATCTACATGCATCCCGTCGACTCAATCTACATCCACCCCATCCACCCAATGTACATCACATCTCACACCCAACCCATCTACATGCATCCCGTCGACCCAGTCTACATCCACCTCCACCCCATCTACCTCGAGCCTCCTCTGTTTCTCAGCATCCATGTCAGCCTTCCTCTTCTGCTGGAACTCCTTGTAGTTGGTGTAACTCTTGTTCCTGGGGGGCTGAGAACAACATTGTCATTTCAGCAGCCTGTTCATACACTTAAAGTCCTCAACAATCGGTCAAGTCTCTTCATAATTATAAACTTTTAATACTTTTAAACCTGAGCCCACTTGCACGAAGTGACCTTGGCACTAAAACCACTGTAAGTCTATGTTTGGAATGACAATAGTGTTTGTGCTAAGATCACACTAAGCAAGTTGGCCCAGGCACTTTAGAAGCTGTATCTCGCTAGAGAGCCTGACACCCATCCCTTCTTCTGTTCATATCTAAGAGAAGGAATGCTTGAGTCTCAAATATAATGGGGAGAAATTAGCTGTAGATGACCAAGGCAGCCTTTATTGGAATGAGGTGGGTGTTACGCCGCTTAAATTAACAGTATTACAGTTATAGCATGGCGTGTCTGCTTAATGTGCGAGGAAATCCCGAAGTGATGCAGGTCTCAAACGTTCACCACTTGTTTAAACTCACGAGCGCGGGTATGGTGCTCACAAACCTAGAAACATAATCAGAGCAAACCGGGATTTGAACCCACAATCATAGGTTTTTGGCATGCCCAAGGAACGTATCTGCAGAGCGAATTGTAGCAAACGCAGTAAACAACTGGGCCACCCGTGCCCTGCCCTTAGTAGAGATCTAGTTCAAAACCTTACCGGACCCCTAATAGCTGAGGTGAAGTGGGGCTTAGCATCTCGTTCAAGATTATTGCACTTATATAGCACTGTGTATGCACATGTGTGTGTGTGGCTCTTTATACTGCCGATTTTATAGTGCTAGCCCACAGAGATACCATGCCGCAGTTTAACATGAATGCCCCACTCAGACACAGTATACTGACTCAGACCCGAACAGTCCTTGTTTTAGCCCCTTAATGACAAGCGCCAGGCATGGTAACAACAAGTACCATCTTTTAATGCCTTCTGGTATGACACCGGGCTCAGATCAAACCTCAGAGACACTCTACTACTAGACCATGGAGTCGGTTATCCCTAACAGAGGTTTAATAGAAGACACATAGTAACCAATGTTCCGACTGATGAAAGACACTGAAATCCTCATAGCCTCACAGTGAAAAGCCTGAGCTTGCATATATATTACTCTTTATATTTTTCGAAATCATTCTCAATTTGTCTCACTGTTTCAAAATCAATATAAACAATAACTTGGAGGTTTGTCATAACAATGCCATTCACATCTTTACTTGCCACACATTTACAACAGATCACAATTACTATTTACTTTGTCCACAGCCATTGTTAACCATGATTAAGCAGCTTCACAATGGTATCCATGGCGATGGGACAGATTAGCTCACCTTGGCACCCAGGCTGATGAGCAGCGACACCCTGGCTTCAGACTTCTTCTCGCCACCGAATCCACTGATCCCGAGCTTCCTCACTTCAAACCTGGCAGTGTTCATGTTGAAGTGGTTAGCAGTCTCGGGCTCGCCATCCTCGTCCTCGTTCCTCCTTGCCTGGGGAGATACAGGACTTGCAGAATACACCAAAACATACAACACAGCACGAGTAACTTTTGAGTAAAATAGTTACATGCAGCTTTGAATTCTATCTTAGAGGGAAGCCACAAATTAACTTAAAGACTATTGATGAGTGAGTTGATTAAAACTGCTTTGAACAGCAATCCAGTTATATCACAGGATGTCAGCTTACTGTTAGAGGAAATTCTGAAGTGATGCAGGTCTTAGACATTTACCACTTCGGTGAAACCCACGAACATATGTATGGTGCTGACAAACCTAGAAACAAAATCTGGATGAACCGTAACACTCGAATCGATGACCATAGGTTTCTGGCATGCTCAAACTGCACAACTGCGTTCAGCAAATTGCAGTGCCTTAGTCGAGGCCACCTTTGGCCTTGTTTTCTTATGAGGGAGGAAGGACTTTTGTATTGTTTTTATTGAATCTGATAGCAAAAGAAACAAGAAAAGCAGTTCTGGTCAGCTTTTTAGAACTGTTGTGCCTAACACACTATTTGTCTACTGCGGATCATATATTCTTCCTATTAGCCTGTTAAAAAACAATCTCTCATAGACTCCTGAGTGAGTAAGTGAGTGAGTTGGGTTTAACGCCGCTTTTAACATATTCATGTTATATCACGGCGTGTCAGCTTAATGTGGAAGGAAAGCCCGAAGTGATGCAGGTCTCAGACGTTTACCACTTTCGGTGAAACCCACGAGCACGGGTATGGTGCTGACAGACCTAGAAACATAATTGGGGCGAACCGGGATTCGAACCCACAATCATAGGTTTCTGGCATGCCTAAGGGACGCAACTCTGCACAGCGAATCGCGGCGCCTTAGACAACCGGGCCACCCGTGCCCCCTCTCATAGACTCCTGAAACCCATGACACAAGTCCCAAGGAATGGTGTTTTTGTCAGAGCTGATGACATAAGCATATGATCATATGATATATATGATCATGATGATGCAAGAAACATATCTTTTTCAACTAAAAGTGAAAACACCAAATACAAAGGTTTTAATGTGAAACACCCATGCCAGACAAATATTTCCTTTTTTAGCGCAACAACAATCTGCTTAATGTAGAAAGTATGCCCAAAGACATGCAGGTCACTGACATGCCTATCATATCCCACTTCCCTGAAACCATGGGCACTGAGATCTGATTTTAATGAGACTGATTTAATAACTATTCACTGTATTCAGGCTAGAAAAAAGAAAACTGTTGTTATGTCACCATGTTTTTATCCACGGTACCTTCTTCCGTTTCTTGGCTGGATCTTCGAACACGATGACTTCAGGTTCTTGTTTCCTCTTCTTCTCCACTTTCACTTCCTCACCAACTCTGCCAGTCTTCTCCACGTCCATGAGCCCCTCACTGCGCAGAGCTTCCTTTAGCCACTTCATCTTCTTGTTCATGGGTGTCCTCTTTTGTTTTTCCAGATCTCCATTTTGCCTCCTTTTTAAGAGTTTTCTTTGTTTTTTGTTTAATTTTTTCTTCGTTATTGGAGTTTGGTTTGATTGTACATCACACTGAGGGACATTGTTTTGCTTTGGTTTTTTCTTGTTTTTCTTGGATGTTTTGGATTGGTTGTCTTCATCAAGTATACTGTCTCCTGGGAAAGAAGTTTCATTTATTATTCTGGCCTACAATGAACACAACACATATATCAATAATCCAATTGGAGAAATGCAAACATATCAGACACCTTGAAAGTTTGTTTGTTTAACATCGCATTCAGCAATATTCCTGCTGTACGACCATGATGACTGTAAATTACCAAGTCTGGACCAGACAATCTAGTGACTGACATCATGAGCATTGACATACGCAACTGGGATACAATGCCATGCTTCCACCATGTCAACGAGGCTGACCACCCAATCCTGTTAGTCACCTCTTACGACAAGCAGGTTCTGATGGAATCTGCCCTCTTAGTAGCAGCCATTTAGGTGGCCAAATGCAACTTAAATCTATGATCATGATGATTGGCGACCTAAATTTATCTACTGCTCACCGCTTGACTACCTAAAAGTCAACATAACTGGTAACAATATCTGTTTAAGATACCTGTTGGCTCCTAAAAACTTGTTACGAGCCACTTGGCTCCCTATGAAAAAAAGAACTTTTAGGGCTATATGTATATAAGGTTATAGCTCAGATAACATATCAAGAAAAAATGGGAGTGAGTGAGTGAGTATGGTTTTACGCCGCTTTTAGCAATATTCCAGCAATATCACGGCAGGGGACACCAGAAATGGGTTTCACACATTGTACCCATGTCAGGAATCGAACCCGGGTCTTCGGCGTGACAAGCGAACACTTTAAGCAGTAAAAGTTAATATGGACCATGTAACCATGTGAAGGTTTCATTGCACATCACTCATTCAACATTTTATGCTGTTACCAGAGCAGGGCATTACTGCTTTAATGCCCTTTGACTGAATGGTGCATTGTTGCACAAAATTTGACTTGTGATTGTTTACATAGGCCTGTCAACCAGTAGTTGAAGCTATAGTAACCATGCTAATGTACCAAGTACTTTTACCAGTAAACATGGTAAAGCATGGTCAGCGAATGAAGCAATATATTGGAGTCTCGACCATCACACCATAAACTTAAAGGGGCACTGATCTAAAGCAATGCCCCGGGACTGGTGTTTGCCTTTGTTATTGTTTTTTCCCCGTGAGTACCCGGATGATACGCAACGCAACTGAGCGTGACAAGAGACTGGGCTACCGTCTGCAAGGACAGCTAAATAAACTTGGAGGCAATAATTGTTTTACTCATTTTTTTAACACTGGTTAACCGTGATCTATAAAGATTTCGACAAAGGGCGTATGTTAATTAATTTCTTCAGCCTAAACAAACAGACAAAAAGAAGCTCATCGGATGTTGTCATTTGGAAATAGTTATATGATTGTTATATTCTTCATCATATTTATGTATTACTTTTAACCAAATTCATTTCAATCGAAATATTTTGAATTACATACACATGATAAAGGTAGATGGATTGGGAAAAGGGGGGCACAAAATAATCCATGATATTCTGTCAGTGTGAAAGTCTACATGGTCCATGTAAATTAAATTTCACACGAAAAAAAAGAAAGTTTTATTAATGTACGGCATTTGTAGCTATTGTGTAAGTCACCAATAACAGTTGAGGAGATGTGGAAACCGGAGCTACCATATATGTCTGATAGGTATTACTATGCAACAGCTAGTTACCATATTCTTCCAACTTCTGAAGAAGTGCCTTCTGTGATTTCCTTGCTGCCATTTCTATCTGAAACAAATTGGTAAGGAATATTGACTTTCACCGTAATTACAAATTGAATTTGAGTGACTACCCCGATATGTATTCTATGTTTCAATGTGATCGAAAAATGAACACAGCTAAGATGTTAAACAATAAGCGAATGGCAAGGAAAACATTATAACATACCATAGAAAGGTACGTGTAACTGTGCGGTTTTTTTCTTTCGCTCACATTAAAGTTAAACAAAACACCAAATTAATCTGACATTTGAAGCAAATATGTTCCAAACAATGCTTCATGTGTGCCGTATGGGCGCAGACATATTTCAAACAGCGCCACCTATTAGTAAGGGGACATCACTCTAATATCTCATGTATGTCCAGCATGGGAATCGGTCGCCTGCACTGAAACTGTCGAAGCATGATCAGCTCATTCAGCTGATGACTGTCTTCGAATGTAAACGGTAACCAATAACAATGAAGCTCATGTATTTGTAAGACATATTATGCATTTCGTTATCGGATTGACTACTGACGGCACAGGACTAGTTGCAAACGGGTTATAGCGAAAACGGCACCTCAGCAAAATGTCACCGGGCGAAAACGGCACCTCGACTCGAGCGAAAACGGCAACTCGACTCGAGCGAAAACGGCACCTTATTATTTTTTTTTACCTTTGTCAATAAATGATATTAAACTTACATTGTAACTTGCAAGCGCCAATAATTGTGAGATGTTAAAACAAGTTTACATTAGATATTAGCCTCTACTCCAACTATAATCCAACTTAGCTTATACGCAACTCAACTTATTGTGAAAATATAACATGCTTTGAAGAAAAATAATAGAAATTAAACTCACATCGTCTCTTACAAACACAAATAATTGTGAAATAAAACAAATAAGAAATTAGCCACCTACTCCAATTTACTCACCGACTCCGATTGGGAGGCGTAGTTAACTTATTGTGAAAACACTATACGCTTTGAAGTTGTAAGTACCAATACTCAATTTAAGCTGAAACTGTATTTAAGAGGCCAAACTTGATGCTGAACACAATTATTCACAATGGCCTTTCGATGTGTTGCATGCGAGAAGACTGTCAGAAGAAATCACGAGACATCACGAGGATGTTTTTGAAGATAACAGAGCGTGTCCCGGCCACTGGCAAACTGCGTGACCTCATCAACTATTTTCAAGCCCAGTGGATTGCTCATCCCACCTTCTCTCCCCGATCCTGGTCTGTGTTCAATGTAGCTGTCATACCAATACCAATACCATGTAAATATTCGTTGTTATCGTTATTAAAAATAGAGGTGCCGTTTTCGCCCGACTCATAGTAGCCGTTTTCGCCAAATGCGGTGCCGTTTTCGCCAGAGAAATCGGTGACGTTTTGCTGAGGTGCCCTTTTAGCCTGCACCCGTTGCAAACAGGTTACAACTTACATCTTACAGTTACAGTATCCTTGCGTAACAGAACTTCGATCACATAAGAAATCAGTTCATTAGGCGTCAGTAATAACGTTTGGAATACACCAAAATTATCTCAAAACATAAGATTCATTTTGGACTAGACCGTACTTTGCAATTATTGGTGTAACTGGTGTAGCTGTTTGTGGATGCCGGGTAAAAATAGGTGCCAAGTTACAGATGTTTGTCTTAGAGGCGACTGAATGGATCGAATGGTCAGACTTGGTGTTCATAATATCAATCACTAGATTGTCTGGTCCAGACTTGATAATTTACAGGTTGCCATCACATAGCTGAAATTTTGCTGAGTGAAGCAATTAACAACAGACAAAACAGCACCTATTGTTATACATATGAACTGTATGGGTTGTGTGAAATTAGCGACAATGTGCTAGGGGATATCTGTTTTTAATGAAATAAGACATAATGTATGCAAAATGGACCTGTTTTTGCATTAGAACTGTGCAGCCATTTTTGAATGGGGAAAATTAGTTTAGCCTGATCCCATTCCAAACAGTACATGTGACATTTTCGGGTGCATCTGCTGACTGGTATTATTTCCACACTTCAGGTAACAGCCTTCCTTCCATGATGAAGTTTGACTGGGGGCCATCTTTGTTCCGACGCCTCAGTGGAGTTTTCTGTGTCTACAAGCCGACTGGTCCCCCGGTGCATAAGGTCCTTGAGATCATCCGAGGCAATCTCAACAGAGGTAATATATCAGGGTCGACATTCCTTGAATGCAAGTGGCAGGGTTAAAACCATGATAGCGGCACAGTTTTTTGGGCACGAAAAGCACACACAACACAAAAGAACATTTGAACATGCTTCATGCACAGAATCATTCCCAAGATAATCCTGTGGAATCAACCACCTCCGTGGTCTAGTGGATAGAGTGTTTGCCTGGAGAACGTAAGGTCTTTGATGCAAAAGCTGTTAACAAATGGTACTTTACCCTGGCTGGCCTCTCGGCAGTAAGGGGAAAAAAACAAGGACTAGTCGTCTTAGAGTCAGTACACTGTCTAAGTGGGATATCCATGGTAAACTGTGACATGGTTTCTCTCAGTGGGCTAGCACTATAAAACTGGCATTAGTCTATGGATTAGTACAAGCCCCGTCACACCAGTTCGCCAGTTTATCAGATTACAAAAATATAAAATCTCCATAAAACATAGTCATATTTTGTCTGAATACATGCCAAGAGTAGATGAATCCATCCACTGAATGAGAAAGACCACACATCAGATGTCCAGTTATGTGGAGCACGCTGTATTTGTTTCCAGACATCAACGCTTTGCCATGTTACAAGTACGAGCGGAGGATTCAACGAGTGAAGGCTAACACGGAGGAGAAGCTGCCGTCCCTGTCGTCACTGCCAGTAGACGCAGATAACCTGGCTCAGCACAGGCTCAGTATGTTTGTTTGTTGTTTAATGCCACACTCAGCTATATGACGGCGGTCTATAAATAATCAAGTCTGGACCAGACAATCCTTTGAGTGACATCATGAGCATCAATTTCGCAATTGGGTTACAATGACATGCAGCAACCAAGTCTGACCATTCGATAATAATCGACCATAATCATGGGTTGCATGAGACAAATTCCAAGTCAAATCTTCACGTAGGGTGAGGGTGGTGATGTTCCTAAAATAAATGAGGGAGTAATTATTGCTTAACACTGCACCTGCAACTTTTTGCAGCTACGATAGCATGGTGTAAGATCCTCAATTTTTTCCCCTTTTGTGTGGCCGAGTTAAGATGAGGGCATTTAGGGGGCTGACAAGGAACAACATTTGATTATCAGTTATTAAAGATGTTTATTGAGTTAACTTTTAGGAATGCTCGGTTTTAACATTTGCAAGTCTTAGACTTGCAGTAGGGTGACCAAGTATAGATGGATAGCTGAAATATTTAAAGGGCCAATGTGAGAGACTATCTTAAAGACAGTTTCTACCTTTGTAGCAATGCAACCAAGCTGATTTTCTTTAGAGATTTGTGAGATATAGGGTTGACAGGGACTTACTCATGGCCATCTTCAAGAGGCAAGAGAATTAACTGACTTTAAAAGTCCAGTTTCCACCCTTGCCGAACTGGGCTGGTATTATGGAGTTACATTTTGGCTGTACTAACGAGTGTATGCATAGTCCAATTAAAATCTCGCAACATTATCGAAAACTGCTTCGTAAACTGGGCGCTGCCATTTTGTTTGAAACAAATGCTAGTGATATGAGAGGTGGAATCTGATTGGTCCATATGAGAGGTTTAGAAGGGACACAACTCATAATAACCACTGGTGGGGCTACGATCAAGGCCAGGAATTCCAGCTTAGTTCGGCAAGGGTGGAAACTAGACTTTTAAAGTTAGTTAACTCTCTTGCCTCGATAAGATGACTCATGGCTAACTTTGTTCCATTTTGTCCTTACATCCAGATTTTATCATGTTTATCATGTTTATGTCACAAATGTGTTAATGTTGAAAATATATAATGTAAGGTGTGTCAGTTTGCCTTTATGATGCTGCATCAGTCAGCTCCTTCCCCATTGTACACAGACATAGACATGTTTTCAGGTTGAACTACTGGCTTGTGTTGTGGTGTTGATCAGTGACCTCAGTGATGCAGTGTTCCTTCTATTTCTCTAGCCCTGGGGCCACGATACATCCCAGAGGATTTTGTACTGGAACCACTCCATGGCCTGTCTCGACATGCTGCAGGTGTTCTAGGTAGGACAGCCTTAACGATGATGTCACTGGTGTTTTCACTGATGTTATTGATGATGCCACAGATAATGTCTCAGATGTCATTGATGATGTCACTGATGATGTCATTGTTGATGTCAAGGTTGATGTCATTGATGTCATTGTTGATGTCAAGGTTGATGTCACAGATGTCATTGTTGATGTCACAGATGTCATTGTTGATGTCACTGATGATGTCACAAATGTCATTGATGCCGTCATTGTTGATGTCACAGATGTCATTGATGTCACAAATGTCACTTATAATGTCACAAATATCAATGATGCTGTCATTGTTGATGTCACAAATGGCATTGATGCTGTCACTGATGATGTCACAAATGATGTCACAAATGTCATTGATGCTGTCATTTTTTATGTCACAGATGTCATTGATAATGTCACTAAAGATGTCATTGATGATGTCATTGATGATATCACAAATGTCATTGATGTTGTCATTGTTGATGTCACAGATATCACTGATGATGTCACAAATGTCATTGATGCTGTCATTATTGATGTCACAGATGTCATGATAATGTCACTAATAATGTCACAGATGTCATTGATGTTGTCATAATTGATGTCACAGATGTCATGATAATGTCACTAATAATGTCACAGATGTCATTGATGTTGTCATTATTGATGTCACAGATGTCATTGATGATGTCACAAATGTCATTGATGCTGTCATTATTGATGTCACAGATGTCATGATAATGTCACTAATAATGTCACAGATGTCATTGATGTTGTCATTATTGATGTCACAGATGTCATTGATAATGTCACTAATAATGTCACAGATGTCATTGATGTTGTCATTATTGATGTCACAGATGTCATTGATAATGTCACTAATAATGTCACAAATGTCATTGATGCTGTCATTATTGATGCCACAGATGTCATGATAATGTCACTAATAATGTCACAAATGTCATTGATGCTGTCATTATTGATGTCACAGATGTCATTGATAATGTCACTAATAATGTCACAAATGTCATTGATGCTGTCATTATTGATGCCACAGATGTCATTGATAATGTCACTAATAATGTCACAGATGTCATTGATGCTGTCATTATTGATGCCACAGATGTCATTGATAATGTCACTAATAATGTCACAGATGTCATTGATGCTGTCATTATTGATGCCACAGATGTCATTGATAATGTCACTAATAATGTCACAAATGTCATTGATGATGGTACTGATGATGTTTGTTTGTTGTCATTGTTGATGTCACAGATGTGAATTGTGCTTAATGTGTTTCTTGGCAACATTGTTCATGTTGTTGATAAGACTTACCCCTAGTCAGGTACTGGTGAACTTACTGTAGACTTGTGATACTGTCTGTAGTTAGGCTGCGCATGATGCCCCTGGACTGGTCTTCACAGTCTGGCTTAATCAACTTTAAGGTTATGTTTGAAGACAAATAATATGATTGCAACTGAAAGTGTTGATGCAGCATGACTTACAATTATTTTGGAAAGCCAACCTTTCGATATACATACTTAATGGAAAAAAAGAATAAGTACTTTAGCTTGTTGGATAAACAAGTTGTATTATTCCCTTGATATTTAAATATTAACTGCTGTATTTTGGGTTATTTCAGTGATTGGTATGGGACGAGGCTGTGAATATCTGGAACACATTGCCCTTGCCAGGTACCTGAGGGTAAGTTCAGATGCTCAGCATATATTCCTATGGGAGTCGGACCCTCGAAAATCCAGGGTAGAATAGGTCTTCAGCAACCCATGCTTGCTATAAAAGGCGACTATGCTTGTCTTAATAGGCGACTAAAGGCTTAGCGTGGTCAGGTTCGCTGACTTGATGCATGTCATCATATCCAAATTGTGCATATCGATGCTCATGATGTCACTCACTGGATTGTCTGGTCCAGACTCCATTATTTACAGATCGCCGTCGTATAGCTGGAATGTTGCTGAGTGCAGCGTTAAACAACAAATAAACAGACATTAGAAGGTATTACCAGTATACCAAGATATGAAGTACAAATGATTCCTTTTTTTAAAAATAAATACATATCACAATATGTTTGGACAATACCCATATACTGAGATTTATAAAATCATCGTCGTATTGTTGGAAAAGTTTACATAAGCGACAACAATGGACACGGCTAAATGAAATTATGAAATTTGCAATTGTTTCCTGTAAGTGAAAAAGCATAACTTTTTGCGGCCAGTTTGTATGTATGTAATGTGTCTATTACACCTCAGTTGTGACCATAGCAACAACATATGAAGTTGTTAAAAATGGGAGAGAGAAGGTTTTTCATTCAGGTTCATAAGTTATTACAGATTAAAGAATGCATGCAATATATTGTGGTACGTATCGCAACACAGGAATCATTATTGCAATAAATTGCATTACCAATCTGACTAAAATCAGATCTTTGTTCTCGCTACCGCTAAACAAAAATCTGAGGACATCCCTTTACGGGTCACGTCAGAACAACCTTTCTTGAATTTTGACCAACCAATGAAATGACTGACAAGAAATCAACATTAGCCAATCAGAAGGCAGCTTTCTCGAGCTTTACGACACTAGTTTCAAACTGGCGACTACACTTCGAAACATATTTTGACGTATTCTCGATTAAAAAAATTAACACTGATAAGAAGAACACTCTGGAATGGCTTATAGATGGCCTAGATTGTATGGATATAATCATAAAACCTGTAATTGTCTTTCGGAATACCCCGTGTCAAATATTTCATGGTTGCATGATTAGAAAACACGTTCCGACTGTCACTTTCATGATCTGGTAGGCGACGCTCTGATTGGTCGGATGAAAGGTTGTTCTGACGTGACCCTAATGGGATGTCCTCAGATCTTTGTTTAGCGGTAGCGAGTACAAAGATTTGATTTTAATGAGATTGTTGCATTACGAATTCAGGCCAATACCCATCACTAGTATCCCTGATTGTGTACCGTGTGTTGCCAGGTGTATCATGTGAGGGGCAGGTTTGGCTGGGCCACAGACAACTACAGCCCCAAGGGGAAAATCCTCGAGAGAACAACTTTCCGTAAGTTACAGGAAACAAGGGCAGATAACTCTTCTCACATTATTCTCCACATTTGGCATAATCAGTATGGAAATGAGGAAATATAGGTCTTCATTATCTCCTACTGGTCCGGAGAAGTCGAATGTGAGGATCAAGTGGTTACAATTTGTGACCTGGCTGATGTCATTGAAGGCATCAAGCATTGTATGGACCGTCATACCGGTAAGTCTGTGATATGGTATGGGAGGTAAGATTGTCTTAGTGCTACAGACGTCATACCGGTACGTCTGTGATATGGTATGGGAGTAAGGGTCTTCTTAGTGCTACAGACGTCATACCAGTACATCTGTGATATGGTATGGGAGTTAAGATCTTCTTAGTGCTACAGACTTCATACCGGTATGTCTGTGATATGGTAAGGGAGTTAAGATCTTCTTAGTGCTACAGACATCATACCAGTACGTCTGTGATATGTTATGGGAGTTAAGATCTTCCCAGTGCTACAGACATCATACCGGTACATCTGTGATATGGTATGGGAGTTAAGATCGCATTAATGCTACAACCATCATACCAGTACGTCTGTGATAAGGTATGGGAGTTAAGATCTTCTTAGTGCTACAGACATCATACCGGTACGTCTGTGATATGGTATGGGAGTTAAGATCTTCCTAGTGCTACAGACGTCATACGGTACGTCTGTGATATGGTATGGGAGTTAAGATCGCATTAATGCTACAACCATCATACCAGTACGTCTGTGATAAGGTATGGGAGTTAAGATCTTCTTAGTGCTACAGACGTCATACCGGTACGTCTGTGATATGGTATGGGAGTTAAGATCTTCCTAGTGCTACAGACGTCATACGGTACGTCTGTGATATGGTATGGGAGTTAGGATCTTCTTAGTGCTACAGACATCATACCAGTACGTCTGTGATATGTTATGGTAGTTAAGATCTTCTTAGTGCTACAAACTTCATACCGGTACGTCTGTGATATGGTATGGGAGTTAAGATCGTCTTAATGCTACAACCGTCATACCAGTACGTCTGTGATATGGTATGGGAGTTAAGATCTTCTTAGTGCTACAGACGTCATACCGGTACGTCTGTGATATGGTATGGGAGTTAAGATCTTCTTAGTGCTACAGACGTCATACCGGTACGTCTGTGATATGGTATGGGAGTTAATATCTTCTTAGTGCTCCGACGTCATACCGGTACGTCTGTGATATGGTATGGGAGTTAAGATCTTCCTAGTGCTACAGACGTCATACGGTACGTCTGTGATATGGTATGGGAGTTAAGATCGCATTAATGCTACAACCATCATACCAGTACGTCTGTGATAAGGTATGGGAGTTAAGATCTTCTTAGTGCTACAGAGGTCATACCGGTACGTCTGTGATATGGTATGGGAGTTAAGATCTTCCTAGTGCTACAGACGTCATACGGTACGTCTGTGATATGGTATGGGAGTTAGGATCTTCTTAGTGCTACAGACATCATACCAGTACGTCTGTGATATGTTATGGTAGTTAAGATCTTCTTAGTGCTACAAACTTCATACCGGTACGTCTGTGATATGGTATGGGAGTTAAGATCGTCTTAATGCTACAACCGTCATACCAGTACGTCTGTGATATGGTATGGGAGTTAAGATCTTCTTAGTGCTACAGACGTCATACCGGTACGTCTGTGATATGGTATGGGAGTTAAGATCTTCTTAGTGCTACAGACGTCATACCGGTACGTCTGTGATATGGTATGGGAGTTAAGATCTTCTTAGTGCTACAGACGTCATACCGGTACGTCTGTGATATGGTATGGGAGTTAAGATCTTCTTAGTGCTACAGACGTCATACCGGTACGTCTGTGATATGGTATGGGAGGTAAGATCGTCTTAGTGCTACAGACGTCATACCGGTACGTCTGTGATATGTTATGGGAGTTAGGATCTTCTTAGTACTACAGACGTCATACCAGTACGTCTGTGATATGGTATGGGAGGTAAGATCGTCTTAATGCTACAACCATCATACCGGTACGTCTGTGATGTGGTATGGGAGTTAAGATCTTCTTAGTGCTACAGACGTCATACCGGTACGTCTGTGATATGGTATGGGAGGTAAGATCGTCTTAGTGCTACAGACGTCATACCGGTAAGTCTGTGATGTGGTATGGGAGTTAAGATCTTCTTAGTGCTACAGACGTCATACCAGTACGTCTGTGATATGGTATGGCAGTTAGGATCTTCCTAGTGCTACAGACGTCTTACCGGTACGTCTGTGATATGGTATGGGAGTTAAGATCTTCTTAGTGCTACAGACGTCATACCGGTACGTCTGTGATATGGTATGGGAGTTAGGATCTTCCTATTGCTACAGACGTCTTACCGGTACATCTGTGATATGGTATGGGAGTTAAGATCTTCTAAGTGCTACAGATGTCATACCGGTACGTCTGTGATATGGTATGGGAGTAAAGATCTTCTTAGTGCTACAACTGTCATACCGGTACATCTGTGATATGGTATTGGAGTTAAGATCGTCTTAGTGCTACAACAGTCATACTGGTATGCTGTGATATGGTATGGGAGGTAAGATCATCTTAGTGCTACAGACGTTATAGCAGCAATTCTGTGATATGGTATGGGAGGTAAGATCGTCTTAGTGCTACAGACATTATGCCAGCACTTCTGTGATATGGTATGGGAGGTAAGATCGTCTTAGTGCTACAGCCATCATACCAGTACGTCTGTGAAACGGTATGGGAGTTAAGATCGTCTAAGTGCTACAATCGTCATACCGGTACGTCTGTAATATGATGTTGGAGTTAAGGTCCTCTTAGTGCTACACCCATCATACCAGTATGTCGGTGATATGGTATGGGAGGTAAGATCGTCTTTGTGATACAACCGTCATACTGGTATGCTGTGATATGGTATGGGAGGTAAGACCGTCTTGGCGCTATGACTGTCATAAGCATCTGTTAAGGTAGGGGAATTGTGATCCTCTTTGAGCTAAGATCACTTTTTGGAACATCCAGAATTTTGAATTAAAAAAGATTAATAGAATATATCCTTCATCCTGTTCAGTGGTGATTATTTATGATATATATGTTTATTTGATGTATTTGTCATGGCTGTGTATTCTGGTAACCACAGGACATGTTGTGTAACAGTGTTGGATGAAAATGCTGTAATCACAGGAGTTGGATCAACTCTGGATCTGTAGGTGATAGTTGCTTGATCCCTCACAGTGGACTGTGGTTTAATGATTAAAATAATAATTTCAGATGCAATTTCTTCCCACTATTGCATCAAAATTCTTTAAAGTGGTATCACTGGGTACGTTTTAACTGAATCACCAGTAGATTGGGAGGAAATGTGTGCACAGCTGATTGCTATTTCAGGCTTACTTTACGAGAAAATACACACAGTGATCTTAATCTCTGCATATAAAACAATGCCTTTGAGAGCAGGAAATACATTTTAAATGGTAAAATCATCATGTCTAGTGATGTTTTATATCAAATTTCATACTTTTTTTACCAAGTTTGTTATGCCTGTTTATTCACCTGAAGTCGTTGAAGGGATACGATAACGCTCATCAATTATTTGGACCCCGAAGGTAGCGTTGTTTGTTTTTTAAAATGTCTGGACAGAAAAATTTAAATGTCCGGTAAGCAATTTTTTAAATCAGACATTTGAGTTTCCCAATCGGACATGTCCGGCGCATAGAACTGTTTCCGGACCCCTGGTTTAATCGGGTGTTTGTTCATTGATTGTCTCAGACAACATCACCAAGCCCAAGTTGGACAAAGTGTGTGCCGCAGCTCAGGCTAACCACACCAAGTACATGTTTGAGTAAGTACAATAGTGTTGCCATGGCTACCAGCCACTCCTACAAGCCCTGACTGATTATGTGACACAGATTAGTATTTCTTGTTACAGAGGCTGGGGGAAGACAGCTGGAAAGGGTTAATCTATCAATGTCAAATCAACATGAAGCTAGGAGAAGATAGCAAGGGTTAATCTATCAATATCAAATCAACATGCATTGGTGGATGGCATTCTTTTGTCCCACTCGTTAAGTGACTATTGGGATCTGGTGGTCAGGCTGTGCTGACGATGCATGTCATCGTATCCCAATAATAGATCGATTTTCATTATCTCAATCACTGGATGGTCTGATCGGGACTTGATTATTTACAGACCGCCGTCATATAGCTGGAATATTGCTGAGTGCAGCGTTAACAACAAACAAACAAACAAAACAAATAAACGTATACAGGTCATGACCAAGTTTCATTGCTTGTTTTTTTAGGAATGTGTATGGTGATAAACATCTTCATCCCCATTGTCATTTATACTTTTAGGTCTTTACTTTTTAATAAATCTTGGTAATACATTCATGAGGACCCTAAATATTTCAAGATAAATCTACTGTTTCAAATGTTGCAGTTTTTTAACAGAGATTTGATACCTGTAGTTGTGGTTATTTTTATTCCAAACCAAATGTTTAATTTACAAGTATCTGTTAAAAATATTCATTGATGTGATATGGGTCCCATTGTCTTCCAGCTATGCTGGTGTCCGGTCTGACAGCCAAGAAGCGTACACGCTTGCTGCCTCTGGACTGGTGCGTCCGGAGAATGGGAAGACGCCCCCCATTCTATATGGCGTGAAATGTATAGAGTTTAACCCTCCTGACTTCACACTGGGTAAGGAAATATTGTAGTATTTCTAAAAACTGCAGAAATCTGTCGATAGTGTTGTGCCAAATAGCCCTACCCCATTGGGATTGAGAGTGAATTACTGGAGGTAAGATGTGCCAAATACCCCTTCCATGTTGGGGTTCTGAGTGAATTACTTGACCAAAGATGGCACAAATACCCCTAGCCTAAGCATCTCCCCAAGGCAAGGGCATTAATTGACAATAAAAGTCCAGTTTCCACCCTTGCCGAACTAGGCTGGAATTTCTGGCCTCACCGTAGCGCCACCATTTGCTATTAAAAGTTATGTCCCTTCTATGTCCTTCAAACAAAATGGCAGGCAGGGCCCAGTCAAGACAATCCGATCCATAATCAAAATCAATTTTTGTAATAAAACGGATCTTACTTCGCAAAGCGTATCAATTCATTTTAGCACCATGATTAAAGACATGAAAAGACGACGGGACACAGGCTGTGCAAATCCAAGTTGACCAAAATCTGCCTGTTGAAATCATGTTGTTTATGAACTGGATGTTAGACCTACCAAAATGTAACTCCGGAATTCCAGCCTAGTTCGGCAAGGGTTGAAACTGGACTTTTATAGTCAGTTAATGCCCTTGCCTCGGGAAGATGTACCACAATTGTTGTACATGTAATAGCTGATTAAAGTTCTGTTGGTCAGGGACAAGGCTGACTGCATGTGACCCTGCTGGTATGAATCTCATGGCTTCTGCTTACAGTCACTGAACAAGGTCATGGGGGTCCCCATCTTGTAGTGTATCTTGTTCAATCGAGCCAGGTGATTCTGGTCCCCATGTCTCGGAGTAACTCTTGCTCAATCGAGTCTTTATCATATGTCACTTTTGTTTGTTGACTATTTTATAAATCACCATTCACTCGCCCACTTTGTTACTTTTTCAGAGATCCATGCCATCAATGAGAAATGCACATATTTAATGAACTTCATCGGCGACGTCGGGTTGAGCCTCAAATCAACTGCAGTATGCACACACATCCGACGTGTCCGCTATGGCCATTTCGAGTTGCAGCATGCGTTGCTGCGGAAGCAGTGGACAGCTGAACACATCCTGGACAACATCCAATCCTGCAGCAGTTTGCTGTCAGTTGATAAGTTAGCCACAAGTGACAGTGTCCGCCATCTCGATCAAGATGGCCGACAATACAAGCAGTTGGGGTATGGAAGGGAGGGACTCACAAGAGACAGATTGAAAGGAGGGAACAGAAAATTGTTGTCCAGTTGAGATTTGTGATGTGTACTGTGGACTCTTGTATGACAGATAGTTGCAAGCTCCTCGCAGCGATAGCCCGTTCACAGAGCTCTCTATACTATCGCTGCCACCAGTTAAAACTCCCCACAGTGATAGATGACCACGACCATGCTTGGAGTTGAACTCTCAGCCGATTGACCATCATGTTTACAAACAAGTGACGACTGTTGTGACGCCGAATACACTTACCCCTGTTAAATTACTTTCTTTGTTTGTCAATTTGAATTTCTATTTCATTAAAACTTTCATGTAATTGATAAAGTGAGAATGTAAGAATGTAAGAGAGAAGTTAGTTGATTTTCCGTTAGTCCGCATACTCGAACCAATCTGATTATACAAACAACAAAGTAAATTCATCTGGTAAACATGGTCACTCGTAAACGTTTTCAAAATGAGCTATGATGGCATTCCCAAACACATAAATGAAAGTATGAATGTGACTACATTTGGGGTTAGAGGGCAGATTTCAAGATTCTTGTAATGGCCGCGCCCACACTGGTGGCAGCGATGTTACCGAGAGTGTAACGAAAGTGTCATGCCCTGGGAAGGAGCTTGAGATAGTTGGAACAAAGGGTGGTAATCGTGATAAATTTCATTTACGTGTTTTCAAATTTGCAGGCAAATGGGAACACTTAATGTTTATCAAAATTGAAAGGTATGACATGAACTTGTCGGCTTTGAAATAAATGTTGGTAAAATAGGTATTGTCCTTTGTTTGAATCATTAATTTTCAATGGACTTAACTCAGGGTTTTCGCAGTCTTAGCATGTTTCAATTAAGTTCATACAATTAGAACATGTTGATCTGCTACACTGAGGAATTGTCAACGTTCAAACCTTCACTCATGGCACTAATTACAAGATCTCCACCTGGAGAGGGTCAGTGATTGAGTGAATTTGGTCTAAAGCCGCTTTGGATAGTATTACGGTATGCCAGCTTGATGTGGAGGAAAGCCCGAAGTGATGCAGGTCTTAGATGTTTACCACTTTGATGAAACCCACGAGCACAGGTAGGGTGCTGACAAACCTAGAAACATAATCGGGGCGAACCAGATTCGAACACAAAAACAAAGGTTTCTGGCAAGCCCAAAGGACACAACTCTACATAGCGAATTGTAATGACGTAGACGACTGGGCCACCCATGCCTCCACTGGGGCACCAAGCAGTGCAGCTTAATCTAATGTTTAGATGACCCCTTACAACTAAAGAGGTCACAATTAGGAGTATTAGTTTTATTAGAAGCATGGCCATCTTAAGGCACCCTTTCAACCTAACCCCATACAATTAAAGAGTTTATGAGGTCAATACTTTGTCTTCAGTCCATATCACTTTTTCTGGTTCATTAAAACAGGTATTGACCTCAAATTGAGTCTATAATTCTTTCGACCGACTCTGTGGTCATGTGGTAGAGCGTCCGCTCGGAGAGCGGAAGGTCCGGGGTTTGATCCCCGGCAGCGTCATACCAAAAGACGTTCAAAGATGGTACTTGTTGTTACCCTGTCTGGCGCTCGGTATTAAGGGGCTAAAACAAGGACTGGTCGGCTCGGAGTCAGTTTACTGTGTCTGAGTGGGGTATTCATGTTAAACTGCGGCATGGTATCCCAGTGAGCTAACACTATAAATCGGCATCAGTCCGGACTAGAACAAGCAGCCACACAAACACACACACGTACATGCACGTCGCTATATATAAGTGCAATAATCTTGGATCCGACGTTAAACCCCATTTCACCTCACGTGCTGATGTAGTGGTGTGATGTTGGTGAGAGTGTTCATACATCTTAGTGGAGGGGTGTTAGGAGGTGGAGGGGGAGTGGAGGGGTGTGAGGAGGGAGTGGAGGGGTGTTGAAGGAAGTGGAGGGGTGTTAGGAGGAGGAGGGGGAGTGGAGGGGTGATAGGAGGAAGAGGAGGGAGTGGAGGGGTGTTAGGAGGAGGAGGGGGGAGTGGTGGGGTGTTAGTAGGAAGAGGGGGAGTGGAGGGGTGTGAGGAGGAAGAGGGAGCGGAGGGGTGTGAGGAGAAGGAGGAGGGAGTGGAGGGGTGTTAGGAGGAGGAAGAGGGAGCGGAGGGGTGTGAGGAGGAAGAGGAGGGAGTGGAGGGGTGTTAGGAGGAGGAGGGGGGAGCGGAGGGGTTAGAGGAGGAGGAGGAGGGGTGTGAGGGGGGAGTGGTGGGGTGTTAGTAGGAAGAGGGGGAGTGGAGGGGTGTGAGGAGGAAGAGGGAGCGGAGGGGTGTGAGGAGAAGGAGGAGGGAGCGGAGGGGTGTGAGGAGAAGGAGGAGGGAGTGGAGGGGTGATAGGAGGAAGAGGAGGGAGTGGAGGGGTGTTAGGAGGAGGAGGGGGGAGTGGTGGGGTGTTAGTAGGAAGAGGGGGAGTGGAGGGGTGTGAGGAGGAAGAGGGAGCGGAGGGGTGTGAGGAGAAGGAGGAGGGAGTGGAGGGGTGTTAGGAGGAGGAAGAGGGAGCGGAGGGGTGTGAGGAGGAAGAGGAGGGAGTGGAGGGGTGTTAGGAGGAGGAGGGGGGAGCGGAGGGGTTAGAGGAGGAGGAGGAGGGGTGTGAGGAGGGAGTGGAGGGGTGTTAGGAGGAAGAGGGAGCGGAGGGGTGTTAGGAGGAGGAGGAGGGAGTGGAGGGGTGATAGGAGGGAGTGGAGGGGTGATAGGAGGGAGTGGAGGGGTGTTAGGAGGAGGTGGAGGGGTGATAGGAGGAAGTGGAGGGGTGTGAGGAGGAGGAGGGGGAGCGGAGGGGTTAGAGGAGGAGGGGTGTGAGGAGGGAGTGGAGGGGTGTTAGGAGGAGAAGGGGGAGGTGGAGGGGTGTTTGTAGGAGGAGGGGGGAGCGGGGGGTGTGAGGAGGAAGAGGAGGGGGAAGAGGAAGAGGAGGGATGTGAGGGGGAGGAGGAAGAGGAGGGGTGTTAGGAGGAGGAGGGGGGGAGTGAGGAGGGAGTGGAGGGGTGTTAGGAGGAGGAGGGGGGAGCGGAGGGGTTAGAGGAGGAGGAGGAGGGGTGTGAGGAGGAGGATGAGAATGGTTGTTAGGAGTGGAGGGGTGTGAGGAGGAGGAGGGGTGTTAGGAGGAGGAGCGGAGGGGTGTGAGGAGGATGAGGGGGGAGTGGAGGGATGTGAGGAGGGGGAAGAGGGAGTGGAGGGGTGTTAGGGGGAGGAGGAGGGGTGTTAGGAGGAAGTGGAGGGGTGTTAGGAGGAGGAGAGGGGGAGCGGAGGAGGAGGAGGGGGGAGTGGAGGGGTGTGTGGAGGGATGTGAGGAGGGGGAAGAGGGAGTGGAGGGGTGTTAGGGGGAGGAGGAGGGGTGTTAGGAGGGAGTGGAGGGGTGTTAGGAGGAGGAGGGGGGAGCGGAGGAGGGGTAAGAGGGAGTGGAGGGGTGTGAGGAGGGAGTGGAGGGGTGTTAGGAGGAGGAGGGGTGTTAATAGGATTATTCCTTTCGTATTCAAAATGTTTTCTATAAATACACCCCCCCCCCCCCCCCCCCCCCCCCCCCCCCTGGCTGGCTACGGCACTGACCTACTCCTAACAAAGTCTTTGGGATCGCGACAACACATACATGTACAGACATAACGTAAGGGAAATGACGACACCTGCCTATGTATTGACACACCCCTTCTTGATTTTACCCCCTGCAATAAATAAGCACAGCTTCCTTGACCCCGTTTTTTGCCAGAACAATAACCATGCGTGGTCACGTGTGGCACGTTCAGCTGTCAACGTGTGATCCGTCAGCAGTGAAGAGACGACATGCGCCATAAGGTAAGTGTCCACAGGGAGGGTCTCTGGTCAGTGTTGATTTATCAATGCATGACCTCGACCTATTGCTCTGCAGCTTTTAGTTTGCTAGTCAAGTATGATCATTCCGTATTTTGGAATATGTTTTCCTATGTCAAATAGATCCCAGCATATATTCAAACCTCGATACCTGATATTCTCATCACAAAACGGGTCGCCCTGTCGATGTGTCTAGGTTTGTCAGCAACATGCCCGTGCTCGTGAGTTTCACCAAGTAGGTAAAAGTTTAAGACCTGCATCACTTCGAGCTTTGCACCCATATCAAGCGGACACGCCGTGATATAACAAATACTTTTCATAGAGGCGTTAAACTAAACCCAATCACTTACTCAACTCTTATTTTAGGGGGCTAAAGTACACTGTATATTAGAAACATGGTCCTCTTATCGTTAAGGTCGCCATTAGAACTAACTCGTAGCGTTATAGGCCTAAACCAAGGGATAAGTACAAAGAAATTAGCGAGACTCAAAAACAGATTATTCTACAAATCCAAAGAAACCTAACTTGCTATCATAAATTGTCTGCCCTCAGCTTCAACGTTAAAACCTTGTTTTTTATCAAGAATGATCACACATGGTGAGATCGATTATTGACATAAATAGTTGTAAAGTCATGGTCAGAGAATAGCTCGGGATCATTTACAGCCAGTGACATCTCCCCCAGAGTGATTTGACCGAAATGAAAGTTAATTGTGTAAATCCAGCACAGCAATTATTGACTAAATACAAGAAACTCTCAGGCAAAGTTTGTCCAGCTGCAGTGTATTCTCGCTAGTCCGGACCCTGTCAGGTCGGATGAAAAGTCTTCATGTTATTCCTACTTTGGAGGGACACAAGTGGCCGTGTTGTCTATGGCCCATCAGTTGGCTGTGCTGGACCGCCTCCGTGGTCTAGTGGTAGTGCGTTTGCTCGGAAAGCGGAGGGTCGGGGGTTCGATCCCCGGCCGCCTCATATTTGGTTGAAAGATGGTACTTGTTGTTACCCCGCCTGGCGCTCGGCATTTAAGGGGCACTGATCTAAAGCAATCCCCCGGGACTGGTTGTTGCCTTTGTAAAATGATGGAAATATTTAGACATTTTATAAATTGCCTGAGTGAATCGCATTTTACACATTGGCTGTAACATATACACGCTTACAAAGGAAAAGACTTGTGAAAACAACGTATATCGCGCATCGAAGAGCTTCCCGACCAAGACGAAGAGGAACAAGAATTATTCTGTTCAATGCTACGGAAAAAGAATGAAAACAAAATGCAAATATCATAATTACAACCTACCAAAGTAATATTATACATTTAGGCAGCTACCTTGTTCGGGGATTGTATCCCTGAATATCCCCATAAAGGAACAAGATCCCATACATCTGCAGCTGTAAAAAGAAACTTATTCCATGTCACGTGTCTCTGTAACAATCTAATATTTTAAAATATATAAATCGTTTCGGGATATTATAACCCGTGTTCGTTTCTCAACTGATCACTTGGTTTGTTTCAGTTGTTTCACATAGGTGTCAAGTCTCAAAGGTCAGCTGAGAAAGCCCACGTGACAACTATTTTCAGTATGTCAACGGTTCTTTAAAACAATCCATTGAGTTAGATAACAATGAGCAATCAATCAACGTATAATCGGTTAAACCTTTGAACAAAGTATGTTGTTTTTACACCGGCACTTCGCGCCACGGTATGATTGTATTCCGTCTGCTTTAGTAAACCTACACATGTTATCTGCTCTGTACGGTTAGGTCTACTAATGCCTACAGTGACTAATGCCTACAAAAGTTGTTGTTTTAGTGTACACACTGTTTCACGCACCCCAGCACTCAAGTGGTCTACTCCACTTAGTGTTCACTAATGCCTACACTGTAAACACAGACTAATTAATGCCTTAGAAATGTTACTGGGATTGTGAAAATATTTGACCTTTGTAT